CTGTATGAAAAAGGTGGTTTCTAAAAGGCACCACTTTACTCATAAGTGCAACAAGAAATGTGAGAGACTGAAAGCTTACTCCAGATGACTAACCCACAGAACAAGTTTGCAGGGAGTAGATTTACATTAGAGTTGTATGTGGCTATTTGGAGCCTTTCTGACGTTAAGAAAATAGCCAAGAGTATTGATCTGATGTGGATTTGTGCAAAGCCTTCTTTTCAGTTTGATGACAATAAGCTATTCCTGAATGCTGACAATCATAGTTCTAAAAAAAAATTGGACTTCTGTCGCTGAATTGCAGACACAAATTTTTATCAAAAAGCAGCTGCACAGAATTTGATTTACCTTTCAGTATTCAGTGTTATTATATTTTACTGGGTTTAAAATCAAACATTAGAAATGCATGCTTCTAAATTTAAAAAAAACATGTAATTCACAGTGTCTGTGAGTATTTAAAGCCCTATTAAAATATATGTAGATAGATCAACATTTTTATTTTTGAAAGGGTTATATACTAAACTTGAGGAAGTCCCATACTCTGCTAAAGGAACGAAACGCGTAGGACCGACCGCTGTATTCATTTATTTGCTTTTATAGTCTTATTAAATGCTGCTTTTTTTTTCAACATCCACCCGGAGTCCTGTATTTGAGTGGAATAATCCAGGGGAAGTTTCCCAAGCCCCCCACACCATCAGGGGAGGCACATTACATGCCTGAATCATACAAGATCTTGTGAGTGCATTATAATTTGCGCAGATTGTTATTTCATAACAGTATTACACTATATTATTTTTGTATATTTCATATTTCAGCCGGTTCCCTCTTTGTGTGTGTATATATATTTCTGTGGATAGCAGATTGCCAGCTGGGAGCGATCTGAGGGAGGCTGTAACCATTTACTACTAATAAGTATCCTAACATACTATTTGTATCTGTATAGGGTGCATATGTTTCGGCTATAGATATGGCTACTAGTATCAACTTTTTATCAAATATGCAAAAACATTGTTTAAAAAAATTTGAGGCAATCTTCCAAGAGTGGGAGAAGCCACAACCTCTTAAGGGTTTTAATGAGTATTTTAAACGCAAAGAAAAACTATTATACGGGGAAACCAAGAAATGGTGGGAAATAGCCTTTCTAGAAAACTATCTAAAAGAAGGGCTTATCCCACAAGGTTTGCGTATGGAGAAAACTCCTGCCTTTGGTCTAGACAATGAATATTTTCTAAATGAGTGGGATGAAATTTTATCCAATTGTTTATTTCAATTGATGCAACTTATTATTAAACATTCAAGAGATATGAAGGAAAAAATAGAGGAAGAATTAGAGCAATTGGAATCTTCTGTACAAATAGATCTAGAAAGTCCCGAATTTAAGGATAGGGAAGATTCTGTACAAAAAAATGTGAAACAATTAGATGAGAAAATTGCTGAAACAAAAAGCAGGAAATATAGAAGGGATAAGGAGGATAAGACTAATAACACATTCTCCACTTTGAATAAGATATCCTGAAAAAACCTTATTCATATAGAAATACCCTTCCTAAAGTTTACTCCCCCTATAGAAAAAAATCAACATCACAAAATTATAGGAGGAGATATAGAAGAGACTCTTATACAGAGGAGGTACGTAATCCCAAGACAAATTCCCCCTATTGAAAGGAATTAGCATCACAAGATCATAGGAAGAGATACAGAAAAAATTCCCATACGGAGGCTACGTACAGGAGGGTTAATCATACCTCTCCTAAAGATCGATTAGAATCATTTAATAGGGACACACTCCCATATGAGGATAGGAGGATAAGATCCTATGCCCTGGCAGTGAGACAAGATGCAAGTAGCAGTAGATCTAACTCTCAATATAATGAGAAGGAAGAAACTTTTCAAGGGAGAACCAGGGGTCCAAAAGAGAAACCTATTACAAACTATTTCCAACCAAGGACAAATACTTGGGAACATCACAATCGTTTCTCACCCCTGCTAACGGACTCCCCTCACAAGAGAACGAGAATAGAAGATTAGAGGGTTGTCTCACTTCGTCCTGAGTGAAAAAGAGATGGAAAAAGGTATTTTTAACATATCAGGTCTATCCCTGTCAGATAGTGAGATACAACTGTTATCCAAAGGTTTGAAGTTTGCACCGAATAAAACATCAAATTAATTTAATTTGTATATTGACTTAAAGAAGTATATTAGATCATTAGATCATTAACTTTAAAGAGACATTTCTTATTACAACCCACTCAGGCTGAGTTAACAATTCCAGATGAGGTAGAAACAAGGAATAGAAAGTTTAGACCTAAATCACATTATAATCCTACTCAGAGTAGAGGGCCTTATTTAGAAATATTTGAGAAATTGGTAGAAAGGGAGTTCAAGTCTTTGGCGAAGAAACAAAATCTGAATATTCGTAGGAATCTAACTAGGTAAGAGGACAAATGTTTAAAAAATTTGAGGAAAAGGGAGGACATCATAATTAAGGAAGCGGATAAAGGGGGGGTATTGTTATTATGTTGAAAAGTTATTATTTACAGGAAGCATTAAATATCTTAAGTGATAATCAAACTTATATCACACTCACACGGGATCCTACCAAAGAATTTAATTTAATTTTAAAAAATCTTTTAGAAAAAGCCAGAGATAATGATATTATCTCAAAGGTGAATTATGATTTTTGTACAATAAAAATCCTATTATTCCAATTTATTGTTTGTTTAACCCCCTCGGCCGCCCCATAATCAGTGGTGTTGACTCCCTTACACCTAACCTTTCAGCTTATGTGGATTCATTTTTGCAAAAATACGCCCAGGGCTCTCTTTCCTATATTAAGGGAAAAAAATAATTCTTACAAGAACTTGAAAGTATCGAGTGGTATTCTGGTTATAGCTGGGCCACATTAGATGTGGCCTCGCTTTATACCGTAATTAGTCACGAATTAGGATTAGAGGCCATAAATCATTTTATGACGAAGGACCCAAATCTATCACAAGAAACTAGGGAGTTTATTTTACACTCAGTTAAGTTTATTTTGGAGCACAATTATTTTTTCTTTAATGATGTTTTTTATTTGCAAATCACGGGGAGCGCCATGGGCACCAGGTTCGCCCCCAGTTATGCCAACACCTACATGCGCAGATGGGATGACCTATTTGTCTGGGGAGGTCATGACTGGAGGGAGAACCTGGTGCTCTGGCGGAGATATATTGATGATGTTATTATTATTTGGAAGGGGCCTTTTTCTTTTTTTCAATTGTTTGAAAAGTATTGAAATCAGAATAGGTATAACCTTATCTTCACATCTATATGGAATCGAAATGAAATCTCTTTTTTGGACCTGACTTTAACTTGTGAGAATAATCTAATTAGAACAAAGTGCTTTTTTAAGCCAAGTGATGGTAACGGATATGTGCATCAGCAAAGTTGCCACCACCGTCCTTGGCTTAAAGGAATAGCTAAGGGACAATTTGCCCGGGTAAGGAGGAATTGTTCACAGGGGCAAGATTTTGTAACACAATCCTCACATATTAAGAACAAACTGATAGAAAGAGGTTATAAAAAGAACACGCTTGAAAAGGAAATATGTATAGCATTACAGTGTGATAGGGGTAATTACCTCATGGATAAACCTTGTGCCAAATCCTCTCATGATTATACAACTGCCTTTAGAACCCAGTACTGTACAGACCATGTTAAGATCAGAAAGGGTTTACAGAAGCACTGGTCAGTTCTCCAACAGGACCCAGTACTTAACTCTATCTTACCAGATTTCCCAAAATTCATTTTTCAAAAAAAAAAACAAATCCACAATCTCAGTAAATTAGAATATAGTGAAAAGGTGCAATATTCTAGGCTCACAGTGTCCCACTCTAATCAGCTAAGTAAGCCATAACACCTGCAAAGGGTTTCTGAGCCTTTAAATTGTCTCACAATCATGGGGAAGACTGCTGACCTGACAGTTGTGCAGAAAACCACCACTGACACCCTCCATAAGGAGGGAAAGCCTCAAAAGGCAATTGCTAAGGAAGTTGGATGTTCCCAAAGTACTGTATCAAAGCACATTAATAGAAAGTTATGTGGAAGTGAAAAGTGTGAAAGAAAAAGGTGCACAAGCAGCAGGGATGACCGCAGCCTGGAGAGGATTGTCAGGAAAAGACCATTCAAAAGTGTTGGGGACTTTCACTAGGAGTGGACTGAGGCTGGAGTCAGTGCATCAAGAGCCACCACACACAGACGGATCCTGGACATGGGCTTCAGATGTCGTATTCCTCTTGTCAAGCCGCTCCTGAACAACAAACAACGTCAGAAGCGTCTTACCTGGGCTAAAGAAAAACAGACCTGGTCTGTTGCTCAGTGGTCCAAAGTCCTCTTTTCTGATGAGAGCAAGACAGGATGAATGGAGAAGGTATCATTAGAAAAGGAGACACTGAATGAGCATTGGGAGAGATAGGAGGAAAACCAAGAGAGGACAGTGTCACAGAGACTGAGTGATTGAAGAGTTTGAAGAAGGAGAGCATGATCAATGGTGTCAAAGGCAGCAGAGAGGTCAAGAAGTATTAGTATGGAGTATTGGCCTTTGAATTTAGCTGCGATTAGGTCATTAGTAACTTTGATAAGAGCAGTCTCAGTGGAGTGGAGGGGCAGAAACCAGATTGAAGAGGGTCAAAGAGAGAGTTGGAATTGAGGAAGTGAGACAAGTCTTTCCATAAGCTTTGAGGAAAAAGGGAGCAGGGATATGGGCCGATGGTTAGAGTGGGTGGACGGGTCCAGGGATGTTTTTTTCAGGATAGGTACTACAGTAGCATGTTTAAGGTCAGCAGGGAAAATGCCAGAAGAGAGAGAGCAGTTGAAGATGTGTGTTAAGGAAGGCACAAGAAAAGGGGAGAAAGATCTGATAAGGGGCATGGCCTAGACACAGAGGAAGATGGCAGCTTAGGTGAGGAGCTCCGACCCACATAGCTAAAAAAGAAGAATCGCACCACGAGGCCGCGGGTGCCAACATGGCCGCCTCCCCAACCCACTCACTCACCTCAGAGGCCGGCGGGCCCTCGCTGTGGACCACAATGGTGACCAAGGAAGATCTCAGGGTCCTTTCTGAGAACCTACACGCAGCGATCCGCAGGGAAGTAACCACACTCAAGGCAGACATCACAGAACACTCTAACAGGATACAGGCGGTTGAAACTACCTCGCAGGCCCTGACAGCACAAGTGGAAGCTGCAAACCTCGCCATAACCAGGCAAGGTAATATGCTACTGGCTATGAGGCACCAAACTGAGGACCTGGACAATAGAGGACGGAGGTCCAACATAAGAGTACAGGGCCTACCTGAACCTGACGGGGAGGAGGAAGTAGAGGCCACTCTGCAGGCCCTGCTCCGGAAATACTGGGGACAGAGGCGCCGGCATCCATGGAATTTGATAGAGCACATAGGGCTAATAGAGCACGAGCGATAGATAATACTCCGAGAGACATTATTTGCTGCCTGCACAATTACAAGCTAAAAGAACGAATTATGAATAAAGCATGAGACCAACATGGCGATTCCGTGAAGCAGATGTGGCCCTATACCAAGACCAATCCCCCCTAACATTGGAAGTGCGCTGGGCTCTGCGACCTATCACCTCACTTCTCAGAGACAGAGGAATACCATACAAAATGGGCTTCCCCTTTATGCTCTTGGCCAAGCATCACAGTGATGGACTCCTTTACGCTGGCCAGAGGAGGTGCCCAGATTCCTGCAACGTCTCAGGGCATCACCCCTCACCCTGCCAGACAAGAGCAAATCAGCTGAACCTGCATGCCTGCATATAGATCTAATACCAAGACGCAAAGGGAAAACTCTGGGACTAAGGGGTTTCTAGGGACAACCATCACTGGCGTATACACAAAAATTACCATACGGTTTATTGTCCTGAACTCTGGGGGGAACGGGGAGGTGGGAGACGGAAGCCAGATACTGAATTGAAATTGCAATGCTGCACAGGGCAACACTAAAGGGGAGAGGTGCGGGACACTAGGTGGGGCACGCTAGAGGCAATGGGGGGGTGCGGTGCTCCGGGGGGGGGGGAGTGCATAATGGCATGTTATGACCGAACATGGGCTAGTTGCGAGAGACAAAGTAGAGGAGACGGAAGGGGCACTTAACAGATGAGAAGTGGGGGCGGAGAGACAGAAAGGAACACTATAATGGGAAACAAAATAAATAAAAAAATAAAAAAACAATAGGGGATATATTTGCTCTATTTCCGCCACATAAACTCATGGGACCAATATTAAGAATACTCAAAGAATGGTGCACACATTGGGGTAGTAACCTCAACATAGACACTACCTGGCATACACTGTGCAGGGAGGAGAGACCCATGACCGGCCACACTCACAAAGTGACAAATAAACCCCAATAAACAGGACGCTTTCCCCCTTTCCTCCCCCCCCTCCACCCCCTGCTGCGCCCTGTTTGCCGCGGTGCTCTAACCCTACACAACACGGAAATGACCCAACGGAAGACAAACCTAATACGGAAATGACCACTGACACGCAGGTTAAAAGACTGGCAACAGCCCGCCTCACTAGATGAAATACATAGAACACCACACATCATGAACACACCGTGACCTTAAGGACAGCAACTTGACAGCAACTAACGACAGAAACTAGCTCGGACACAAGTGGGGTGCGGGAATCCCACTGGGACTGCCATATATGATAACACAAAAACTAAATTCTATACACCTGCGCTCCTGCAGGCAAACAAATTGTACACCAACCATACTACCCTTCCCACAGACCAGACCTGTGTATACCTAGTCCACTGGGGGTGTCAATTCCGTGGCTGCCCTAGTTAGTACTAGGAAGCGGTACGGTTCTGAACTCCACCCAGTTACACAGGAACCCCTCATATTGAGGGACACAACAACCCAGGGGATACACTTGGGAGTCCAGACCACACGGGACCTCCCGGACAAGGCCAATACCGGACACAGCTCCAACCACTAACACACCGGCCCCAAAACTCCTAACACTAAGGGGCCTCATCTCCTAACGCAACTCATCCACCAATCCCCTCTCCCCCCCACACACTCCTACCTTCCCTCCTAACCTCGGAGTGCACCTGGGTGCCAGAGGGAAAAGCACGTGAGAACCAGAAAACATCCAGATACCCCAAGAACACCCCTGCCACCAACATGGCATAAACGGCTGCACCCTTCCATATCACAATACAGAACTGCAGGGGCCTGAACACGCCCGAAAAGCGCTCACCGAGACACTACTCATACAGAGACGGAGAGAAGACAGGGTGACTGGCAGACATCAAATGGCAACAGACACATAAACAACATAGACACGAATAATACCCACAAGATGAGGGAGAGACACACACAAACAACGAAATGCAAACCTCACCCCCCCAAAAAAAAGAGAGACAGAGACATGGTTGAGAAAGACAGACCCGGTTCAAACCTGGAAGGAGGCTCACTTCGCACATTGGACGACAACAAAAACTCACCCGCAAATAATAAAAACCAGGGACACAAAATGCACTCAAACACAACAACCGGCAACACACAACACATAGGAAAGGAGAGAAAGGACAAGCTGGACACGGGACATATCACAGTGACTCACAAGCAGACAGACCACAACAAAACGAAAAAGCCAACCGGCTTCGCATAATACCAAATTGCACACTGCACATTGGACGAGACAGGTCACTTCCCCGAACGAAGACAAAGAATAGACTCTAGAGAGGATGATGGACATGACGGGCAATCATCTCAGGCGCTTACAAACAACAGAAACACTGGAAAAGAAAAATTTATTACCATACTTAAGATGTAACTAAATGAAAAGTCAGTGAAAATACACATAGGCCCTGATACCCTGAATAGCAACAACTATGGGACGGGGCGCCCACGTCAATGGCAGGCACTGACACACGCACAACATTTGGGAGATACGCCTCCACAATAGTTAAGTGATAACATAAGGGACCTCCGCGTCCGTCAAATGAGTGAGCCTGTGAGCCTGAATAAACGCTCACATTATCTAAAGTCTATCCCCGCACAAACAGTTCAAGAGATATGGAGAATGTCATGCTGCAGGAGAGATATGAGCTTCAATGTTGCTCACCTCTGGCAAAGGATACACATGCCAAATGTACATAGAGAAACCATAAACACTGCAAGTAACCTGCGTGTCTGACAACCCCGTGGACCCGCAGGCCTGAGAGAATACCCATGGTTGTTAAACCTTACTCCCGCACCTGTTGTGCATATGTTACAGTATATATTATGCTGATGGGGACCTGCGAGTCCCAGAGTTATTGCTCACCTCACCTTATTTACAAAAAAAAAAAAAAAGATCTGATAAGGTGAGATGGGACAAAATCAAGCGGGCAAGTGGTGGGGTGAGAGGAAAGTAGAAGCGCAGCAACCTCTTGTTCAGTGGCAGGGGAGAAAGTCTGAACATGGCATGTTCTATGTGTGGTTGAGAAAGAGAAAGGCAAGGTAGGGAGAATTCTTTCCTTAGCTGTTCAATCTTGTCGGTAAAGTAGCATTCAAAGCTCTCGGCTGTAAGGTTAGTTGGAGGGGTAGCCACAGCAGGGCGATGAAGAGAGTTAAAGGTGTCAAAGACATGTCTGGGATTGCATGAACATGAACTAATGAAAGAGGAAAAGTATGCCTGTTTGGCGAGGGCAAGGTCTGCACTGCATGAACACAATATAAATCTATAATGGAGAAAGTTTGTAGTGGGGCCGCAGCGTTCAAGGCAGAGGTGAGGGTAGTGTTATATGTGGAGATGGCCAGTGATGGACAGGAGAAGGAAGGGATGGATAGGAGTTGTGAATGAATATCAGCTGACAGCTGCTGGAGGTCAATAGAATTAAAGTTCCATCTGAGTTGAGGGGGGTTAGGCTTAGGTTGTTGGGTGAGGGGGTACTCGAGAGCAAATGATAAGAGGTGGTGGTCAGAGAGAGGAAATGGAGTGTTGGAGATATTAGACACTGTACATGCATAAGAGAAAATTAGGTTGATGGTATTGCCAGCTACATGGGTGGGAGAATTAGCCCACTGCGATAGCCCAAGGGAGGAAGTTATTGAAAGTAGTATAGAGGCTGCTGAGGTCAGGGGTGGGTTAATGGGAATTTTGAAGTCCCCGAGAATTAGTAATGGTATGTTAGAGGAGAGGAAGTAGGGTAGCCAGGCAGTGAAGTGGTCAAGGAAGAGGAGAGGGGAACCAGGGGGGCGATAGATAATGGCAATGTTACCAGAGAAGGGCTTGAATAAGCGAATCGAATGTATTTTAAAGGAGGAGAGAGAAGAGGGAAAGTGGGGTGGGTAGAGTTTTGAAGGTGCAGTTAGGTGAAAGGAGAAACCCTACACCGCCACCTTTAATGTCAGGCTGTCTTGGGTTGTATGTAAACTGTAGACCACAATAGGATAATGAGGCAGGGGTAGCTGTGTCAGAAGGAGAGAGCCAAGTTTCAGTTAAAGTAAGTAAGGGAGCGTGAGAGGAATACATCATGGATGGAAGTAGATTTAGGATTGTGTTCTCAAGGTCCAAGACGCCCCAATCAGCTGCAAAGGCTGCACTATGCTGTGTGCTTTGTTCATTACAAATAAAGATATTTTACATCTACTTTAAGGAGAAATAAATATTCTAGCACAAAGAACATAATGGAGCCAGGAAGCTAACACAGTGCATGGAAGACAGGACATGTACATTATAAGCACAGACTAGACAAAACGGGTTTGTTTACATTAAGAAGTATGCCTGTGAGGGGATATGATTACAGTTTTCAATTCTATTCAAGGTCAGAAAAGAGCCTCTCTTGAGAACTTTTCATCCCTCTGCCTTAAATGGTGGCAGTGTCCAATTAATTATGTATGACATTGTTTGCAATGCTGTTACCAGGGTATATGTAAAGTTTTGTTTTATAAAGTATCACTGGTGAAATTTAATACAAATAACCAATTTTCCCATTTTTGAAAGGTCTTAACCTAACTATTGCTCATTGAAGCTCATTCATTTACTCTATAGTACATGAATGTATAGATATACAATGTGACAATCACACCCCTTTGAATCAGTGAAGCAAATGTAAATTGAAATCAGACTTTCCTTATGCAGAAAGGCTCTACCCCAAATACTTCCTCAATCTCCCAACATATATACAAAAAACACAATAGGGGTGGTTCTGCTAGGACAAGTAAGAAGAAAGGCACAACACTTTGCTTAAATGTGTTGGTTAACAATTATACTCTATAGTGCCTCCCTTCTTTGAGTTGGTTATTTTTATTTATTTATTTTTTGCCTCAATTTTTCAATTTGGATTTAATTCACTAAACTTCAAACTTCAGTCAATAACCATCAAAACATTAAAAATAGTGAGTGAAAATTTGGCATTTGGACAAAAGTCAGCCATGTTACTAGCATGTGCAGCAACTATCTGTGTTTAACATGAAAAGCACGTCATCAAAAACACCCAGCTCAAAGTATTCCAGCATAGACAGATGTGAATATTATTTATATTTCTATAAATTTGTCCCGTGGCTTATAGTATGAACTTTTTCCAAAAAGAGCATCCACAACATTAAAACCACCTTCCTAATATCGTGTAGGTTCCTGGCGGCCATTTTAACTCACAGACACTGTATGGACTTTTCAACACGGTGCGATCTCGCTGGTATTTGGTGCACAGAGACATCGTGCAGTGGTTTTGGACTATACAACAGGGGACACATTATACAGTAATTGTTTTTCATTTAGCCTGCATATGTTCTGTGGAATCTGCATTAAACTGTATCTTCCAAAGTACTGAACGGATCTGGGTGAATTTTGGATATGTGGTTCACCCAGATCCCCCGGTTCCAAGGATATATTTTTATGGGGTTATTGCATGTTTTGGGGTCCCTGTGATGTGTTTTATAATACTGTATTTCTCTGCCTGTGATAATTAGATTAACCATTGTGTTCAGTAATCATATCACAGGCAGAGGGGAGGATTTTGTGTGGGAGTGTCTGTGTGTATTGTACGGATTGATTGGCTGTGTTTCAAAACCCTGTGGGCAGTACAATATTTGTGGATTGTGAATAAAAGAGGCTGTATATGCCAGTCCAGGCAGTTTGCTTGACCTCAAAACGAAGTGTCGTCTCGTTATTGGGGGAATTGGATTGTATGCTGATTGCCAGGAGTGTAAGCTGATTGTATGCTTTTCCTGTTCAGCTGCTTACAGCATTCATATGCTTGAGAGCGTTCGTATGCTTCTCCGGTTTGGTGGTTGTGGTGTCTGCTGCAGTGCTTGGAGTCCTCAGGAAGCGCTAGGAGCATCCTTCAACGGAGGTACCCAGTCGGGGTACCAGGTGATCCGTTACAGGATGGACTTCACAAGACCTATGAACGTGTCCTGTGGTATCTGGCACCAAGACATTAGCAGCAGATCCTTTAAGTCGTGTAAGTTGCAAGGTGGGGCCTCCGATTTTTGTCCCAGCACATCCAAAAAATGCTTAATCATATTGAGATCTGGGAAATTTAAAGGCCAAGGCAATACCTTGAACAATTTGTCATGTTCATCAAACCATCCCTGAAGATTTTTTGCAGTGTGGCAGGGTGCAGTATCCTGCTTAAAGAGGCCTCTGCCATAGGGAATACCATTGTCATACAGAGATGTACATGGTCTGCAACAATCTCTAGGTAGTTGGTATGTCCCCAAATCATCATCCATCCCTGCATGAAGGCATTTTAATTTTGAACACTGCAGCTGTAAGGTATGGACTGAGATGGAGAAGATATTCAACCAGATTTCTTTCACTTTGTTACTAGATTATTACTTTACTATAATGATACTACCATTGTTACATAGAGTTTACTACTGTAATATTTTGTACTTGATGTTACATGTAGTTATTAATAATCTGGCTGATAGAATTTTGGTTGGCAAATACTTATGCTAATCTCACACTTTCATCTTTCAAGTAAACCCATCCCATACCATACCCCCTAACAGCAGTGTCCAGTAAAGCAGGAAGTCTATGGATGGGGTAAAAGGGTGGGCCCCTGACACAAATCACATAACCAGAACTGCCAAAAGGGGTGAACATACACAAAAAGGGGACATGTCTGTGTCCCCATGTCTCCCAGGGAACACTGGGAGACCTAGGGACACTGAGACTCTTGGGGACACGGAGACATGGGGACACTGGGTGACTTTGAGACATGAGGGGACACTGGGAGACATGGGGCACTGAGACACTGTGATACATAGGGGACACTGTGATATATAGGGGACACTGGAGACTCGATAAAGACCTGGGTACAGGTCAAAACATTGCAGTGTCCAATAAACCTGCTTAAATCTATCACAGTGAGTGCCTGATATTTTTTTCTTTTATACTAGGGGACACTGAGACACTAGGAGACATGGGGACACTGGGAGACATTGGGACATGAGACACTAGGAGACTAGGGACAGTGGCACACTACGGACACTGAGAGACATGGAGATACTGGGGGACACAGGGAGACATGGAGATACTGAGATACTAGGGACACATGGGGACATGGGGCACTGAGACACTGTGATACATAGGGGACACTGTGATATATAGGGGACACTGGAGACTCGATAAAGACCTGGGTACAGGTCAAAACATTGCAGTGTCCAATAAACCTG